ACGCACACCTTAGTCTTCTTGCCTATTCAAGTCCCCAGAGAGAGTCCAGGCTGGGAATAGATGGTCTGGACTTCAGTAGTTTTCATATTGAATCCTTCCTCTATCAATCCCAGCAGTGTGATTTAGACCTTTTCTGCCTGTATATCTGCTTGCACAATGAGAGCAATGGTAGGTCCTCTGGTAGGATCACAATAGATCAAATTGGCAAAGGCTTTGAATTCTGCAGCACAGCATCTAACAAAGTGATCTCTATGTGTTTGTTCAGTTACAGCTTTGGTAGGCCCAAAGATGCCTCCATGCATATAGACCTTATTATTGGAGTCTTCCATTAAAACCACTTGAATATCTGTGACATAGCTCAGTGGCAGAGCACTTGCTCCATGCATGAGGCCCCTGTGTCAGTCCTCAGTGTCATAGCAAGCAGGCAAACAACTCCAACAAACATTGGAGGGGAAGTTCACATGTATAATCCCCTAAATTTAAGATAATACACCATATGTCAAACTTGTCTTACACTTAGACACATATTTAACTTGATCATAAACAAATTTTTAGCAAGTTGCCATGAAGAAGTTCTAGGAACACTTAGATTTGTTTTATAGAAACAATTCACTTATACCATCATAGTTCACTGACATGGTAATATGGTTTGTATAACATTATGGTATTAATGAAAATTTATTTTTATACTTTTTTTCAGGGGCAGGAGACCCATGTCACAGAGTATGGATGGAGATCAGAGGACAACTTGTAAGAGTAGATTCTCTTCTGCCCCCATTTGGGTCCAAAGGATTGAACTCAGGTTGTCAGGCTTCACAGCAAGTGCCTTTGCCTGCTGAACCTTTTTGCTGGCCCCATGTTATTAATTTTTCAATTCCCTAATTACCATGGCATGCATTCTTCACACAAAATAACTTGTTAAAAGAACTCGTTCTTGGTGAACTTTCAACTCAACTGGTAAGAGAAAATAAGAATTCTCTAACAGAGAGCTCTGTGCTAGCTGCTGACAGTTATTAAGAAATCAGTGTTGTTCAGTGTGACTTACAAGAAATGGTGATCAGTGTTTCATCTAGCGTTAGCTGCTTATAGATTCAGAAAAGAGTCATTGGAGAGTCCAGCCCCTGTTACAATAAATCTAGGGTTTTATTTGCTTTACCAGCTTCTTGATTCTTTAGAATGTAGCTTGAATTGTTGACTTGAATAGAAGAGAGTCTTCTAAGTCTGACCAATCACCTCCTGTGCTCCCAGAGATACCACTGTACCATTGGAATCAAGAGAGAAGTTTATTAACAGTCTCAGCTTTTACTTTTCAGGTCAGTACTCACCAGCTCTTATCATGAACCTAGCTCCATTTGGTGGTTGATTTTTGTTTATTCTGTTTTGTTTAGTTTATGAGATGGGGTGTAACTATGCTGCCCAGTTCTTGAGCTCTAGGATTAAATAATCCTGCCTTGGCCTCCCAAGTGCTGTGACTAAAAGCAGGCATTCTGTGCCTGTTTACCTGGCTCCTTTTGTAGGTTATCCAAACTTGTCAGCTAATTCTTAGTTATCCCTTTCTGCCCATCATACAAAAGAATTTATTAAATGGTATGCCTGTGAGTTCTTCTGTTTTGGAGAGAAAAAAAGTTGGCTTTGACGTATAAACAATATTTTTCTACTACTTACAGTGATCTAACCAAAGCACAATGGACACAACCATCATCTTTCTCTATTGCTCTTTGAGTAGCTACTTCAATGACAGAGAATCACTGAGATATCTTATGGAAAGGAAAACGAATTAAGGTTCTAAAACATAGAGAAAACTGCATGTTAGCCATGAGCTGGACTGCCTCTGGAGTCCGCACATGAGCAGTAGCAGGGTCTGTAGTGTTAGTCAGGATCATACTGGTTGGTTTGTTGTGCTCCACTGCAACAATCTTGTAGAGCCTGGGCATATTCTGCACAGCTACCCTGGACCCTGGGCATCCATATAAAATGGGAAAATTCAGAAGATGTAAGGGAAAAAAATTCCCTCAGGGTTATGCAAAATAACCTTTCAACTTGCAGGATGATGGACTTATTCATTTTTCCATTCATCAAATGCTGATTGTTGATAAGTGAAAGCAAACTCGGGTGGTTTTTGTTTTATCTCCATGGTGAGTAGCTGTTTTCACTTAAACCCAAAAGTATCGTCAGAAAACTATGTTGTGAGCAAAATTATGAGTAGATCAACTTAGAATCCAGCATCTTCCTCTGACTATGACTGTGAGACACAAATTTTAAAAGGCAGGTATCATTTCAGTTGCTGTGATAAAATACCCAACAGAAAGCAACTTAGGGAACAAAGGCTTTATTCAGCTCACAATTCTAGATTATTGTCCATCATTGTGGTGAAGCCAAGGCAAGAATTCAAAGCATATATAGCCATATAACATGCAGTCAGGAGCCGAGAGCAATGCATGCGTGCTAGTATCCAGCTGGCTTTCTCTACTCTTCCATAGTCTAGAGCCCCAAACCAGGGATAGTGCTCCCCATAGTGGGCTGGGCTTTCCCTTATCAATTAAAGTAATCAAGACAATCCTCCACAGACATGCTCACAGGCCAACATGATCTAGACAGTTCTCATTGGGACACTCTTCCCAGGTGATTCTAGGTTGTGTCAAGTTGACAATCAATACTAACCACCACAGCACATATCACATTCTATCAATGTTCTTCATGGGTCTATTAGCAGCCCATCTTTAATAAGGATTACTTACATTAGAATGGCTCAGAGAGCCAGAGAGATGGCTCAGAGGTTAAGAGCACTGGCTGCTCTTGCAGAGGACCTGGGTTCAGTTCCTAGCGCCCACTTGGCAGCTAACAACTTTCCATAACTCCAGTTCTAGTGGAATTCAACACCTTCTTCTGACCTCTGTGGGTATTACTGACATGGGTACACTTAAATAGAAAAAATACTCATACACATAAAATAAAAATAATAAATAAAATATTAAAAAGAATGGCTCCTGGAAGTGAAAATTCCTCAGAGAAGAATACACGGTCTGTTGACTAAAAACTCCCAATGAATAAATACCAGGCTCCATGGCTAGCCTATCTTCCTCTTCTACTTATTAAGTATGTACATAGAAATTTATGACACCTAATGTAAAAGCTTCATTGTCTCCAGCACATGTGTTTTCTGTGTGAATAAACTACTGGATTCAGAAACAGGGAGTACATATTCTTAAACATTGTTCTAGAAGAGCTTTGAGTTAAAACAAGAAAAAGGGAAAAACTCATGAACAGGCAACAGCTGTTAAAGGTAATTATAATTGTGGATCTTGATTACAACACTGCAAAAGAAACAGTGTTTTCCACAAATGCAGGATCCCCTACGACAAACGTTCACAGTGGTCGGGTCCAGGAAACAGAACAGAGATAAATGACTTCTCCTTCTGCCCCTCCAACAACTTTTGAGTCATAAATTATGAATTATACTCCAACAGCTAAGGCAGAGAGAAAATTTCTACAGATGAGATCTACTTTGTGACTCAGAGAACTTCTCTTTTTAATTTTGGGGAAGGAATTAACTTTTGTTGTTCATTTTTACCAAATGTATTTCTTTTTCTGAAATGAATGTCAATTTCCTTTTATTTCTCAGAGCAGTCCTGAGATGTTTATGCAAAAATGTAGAGGGCGAATGTGCAATGCATATTTAACTACTTGAAAAATATCATACAGGAAAATTTTCTATGATGATGGAAATGCTCTACTTATACACTGTCCAAAATATGTCCTCAGTTTGCTAGGTAAGCACTTTACCAACTGAGCCATCTCCCCAGCAGGCACTTCATGTGAAATTTTAAAGGAGGAATTTAAATAGTCCCCATGGTTAGTGGTTGTGGTGCTAGACAGCACAGACTCTGCCATCAGGGGCTCCTGCTCCTCTTCCTCTTGACCAGTCAGAAGGGTGTGGGTCACCCTTCATAAATGGCACCACACCCTTTGACAGCATAGGCCAGAAGGGCTTTTAGCAAGGCTCAGGGGAACATGTCTAAGCAAAGATGTACATTAGTAGGATCAGAAGGATGGAGACGAGCAAAGGTCAAATTTCCAGCTCCCTCTGCCAATTCGTGTAATCCCTGACATGTGGCTTGACTTTCCAGAACTTTGGAAGTCATGACGGTGAGAGAAGATCGCAGTGAAAGCATTCACAAGAGAATCCCTGGAGTAACAGAATCCAGAAGCATGCCAAGTGGAGGAAAGCTGTATAGAGGGAGATGGGATGGGAAAAACCCAGGTACAGTTTTGATTACAGACCATTCGAAGCAAAGATATTTACTTCGGCATTCCATAAAACGCCCTTACTTATTGCAAAATGCACAGGGACTAATGATGGTTCTCAAAGCCATAAAGTATTTCCCAACTCCATGTTATGATTCCACTTAGTTTACTAACAGATATCTTCTTTGTGTGTGTGTGCATGCTTGTGTGTGCACATGTGCATGTTTGTGCATATGAGTGTGAAAGCCAGAGGCCAGCCTCAGGTGTCAATCCTCAGGACCCTGCCCACCTTGTGTTCAGAGACGTCTCTCACTTTTACCTGAGACACACTGATTTTGTCAGGCTGGCTGGCCAGCAAGTCCTAGATATCTACCTGTCTCTGCCTCCCCAGTGCTAGATTAGAAACATATGCCAACATTCCTGGCATTTTCATGTAGGCTCTGGAGATTGAACTCAGGTTCAAAATGCTTGCAAGTTAAGCACCTGATTGAGTCATCTCCCCAGCCTAGAAGGCAACTTCTGACCATGCCTTTTACTTGTGTACCCTCACTGTTGCATTACTTTATTTGCATGTAACTTTAGAAAGTTGAGAATTTAAGATGCATTCACTTTAACATTACCACCTGAGAGAGTGAGCAATTGGGATATTAGTGCAATATACTTTGCCCCTGGTGAAGACAGCACAGTTTGAACTTAAATAACTTCCTATCAAGAGCATTTCAGTGGCAAAGACTGTTTTTTGCATAAACACATACCTGGAGGAGCAAATCAGAAACTGGTCTGACTCGCTGTTGGAACAGGATGCTGAGTGTTCGGTTCTGTTGTTCCAAGTCAAACACTCTTGTTTTCAACTTTACACATTCCTCCCTCAGATCCTACAACAAACACATGGAAGGGGAAAAACGTCTATGACTGAAAGACATCTTTGAATATTATAGCCATATTTTACATGAGACTTCAGACATGTTAGTAAAAAGACAGTATTCTATTATTCAAAGTCCCCCAGAAAATAAATTACAAACAACATTTTCTTCCACAGACCATTGTCTGATGGAGTTGTTATGTTCAGAGAAGACCAAATGCACAAAGAATAAAGCACCTTGAAATCAGAAATGCATTAATGCAGCATGCTATTTTTGAAGGCGGTAAATCCTAGCCATATAAAGTCAATTTGTTTCCACCTATATATTTTGCCTTTTCACTGTCTTTATAAAAGCAATCATAAAGCACAAACCACAGGGACAACAATGTTTTTGTGATGAATAGAGATTTGATGAACTAAAGGAGCTATTTAGATGGAGCCTTCCTATGTCATCTGGGGGAAACAAGTCAAGATTCTCAGTGTCCTGGATCATTTAGTCACTGATGCACTTAGTGGGAAGGGGTTACTCTGAAGTGAAGGCTCTCTCTCTCTCTCTCTCTCTCTCTTTCTCTCTCTCTCTTCATGTGTGTTCATAGGTGTGCAGGTATGTGCTTATATGTGTGGAAGCCAGATGGGGTTCTTAGTTTTTGTCAACTTGACAAAAACTAGAGTCACTCAGGAAGAGGGAACCTCAGCTAAAGAACTGCCTCCATCAGACTGGACTGTGGCATGTCCATGGGGCATTGTCTTCACTGATGATTGATGTACAAAGGCACAGACCACTGTGGGTGGTACCATACCTAGGTAAGTAGGCCTGGGCTATATAGGAAAGCTAATTGACCATGAGCCAAGAAGAGAAACACTAAGCAGTCTTCCTCCATGGTTTCTTGTCTAGGTTCCAACCTTGAGATCCTGTCCTGACGTCCCTCAATGATGGTCTATTGCCTGGAAGTATACAAATAAAATAAACTTCCCCCAAGTTGCTTTTGATCATGATGTTTATCACAACAGAATAACTAGAACAGCTGAGTGCAACCTTGGATATTTTTCCTCAGGTGCCATCTACTTTGATTTTCTGGAGATTCAAAGGCCTGTATGTGATGGTGGCCTTTCTGTTGGTGGAGTCCCAAAGGGCTTCTGCTCTCTCTCTCTCTCTCTCTCTCTCTCTCTGTGTGTGTGTGTGTGTGCAGCTGCATGTGCCTGTACACATATGGAGGATCAAGGACACAGGGTTTCTCACTCTATCATGTTCGAACCCTCGAGACAGGGTCTCTCGTTGAACTTAGAGCTAGGTTGTAAAGACAATAACCCTCCAGTGATCCTCCCACAGCTCTAGGGTTACAGGCATATATATACTCATTCCTAATATTGTGTGTGTGTGTGTGTGCAGCTGCATGTGCCTGTACACATATGGAGGATCAAGGACACAGGGTTTCTCACTCTATCATGTTCGAACCCTCGAGACAGGGTCTCTCGTTGAACTTAGAGCTAGGTTGTAAAGACAATAACCCTCCAGTGATCCTCCCACAGCTCTAGGGTTACAGGCATATATATACTCATTCCTAATATTTTATAGGGCCCTGGGGATCAAACTCAAATCCTCATGCTTACGCACTGAGCCAGCTCCTCAGACCCTGCCTTGTTTCTTCCCCCCACCTCTCCAACTGGTTTTCTTTATTTGCAAAACAGTATCACCCAGTAAACTTGTTTAGAAGAATAAAGCACTAGAACCCTCCTTGACACATAGAATGAAAATAAAAATTTAGAAAACTCCATTAAGTTAAACAAATAGTTTTAAAGTGGTTTAGAAAGCAGTTTAGGAGTTTGAGTTTGCTTTATAAGACAGTCACTGGTCTGAAACTTACTTACTAGGCCGGGCTGTAAGATAAGCAACCCCAGGGATCCGTCTGTCTCCATATCCCCAGTGCTGGATTTGCAAGTGTGTACTATCATACCCACCTTTCTTCTATGTGTCTGGAGACTGATCTACGTTTCTGTTGCTTGCAAGGCTAGGATTTTACTGACTGAGCTCTCTCCTCATTCACAAGTAAAGGCTTTTAAAAGGCCACAATAACTTGTCTGCCCTTCAAGCCAGTGGAGTTCCATGTCTAGGGCATTTTGGTCTCAGTCTAGGAATGGAGCACAGACAGTCCTTTTATGTCATTTTGGGAGCAGCTCCTTTAAAAAGTTCACAAACCTCCAAGAACTTTCCCCCAGATCATAGGTAGGAGGCCGATACCCAGGACCTTCAGGGCTCACTGGATTCCACCAAGGAGCTGCCTCCTCCTCAACTATGATAGCAATCTTTGTGGGATTTCGATGTCTGGATTCTCTCTGGTAAGATTCAAGACAAATCCAGAAGAATGAGGTTCAGATTCTCTTTGGTGATGTGGATCTACCTTGTCAATTAATTGACACATCCACAAGAAGATTAAACCATCACACAGCAACACTGCTTTTTGACTTTCTCTACTCCACCTCATCTCTTACTTCAGCATTACATACAATAGGAGCTTAGGGTGTCTGTAATTCTTTATCGCATTTGTTACAAAGTTTTCTAGAGGGAATGACACTGACAAAATCTCCAGTGACCTGTGTGCTGGAGAAAGCTCATGTGGCTCTCTCTCCTCTGGCATACAAGTCTTAGATAAGGTCCTGATGGTAGGGAGAACACCAGTCAGAAGCTCTGTTGTAAGGGACGCAAGGATGTCCAAACATTCTTTTTTAAAAAAATCTTTTGTATATCAAATTTTTTTGGTGTGTATGATGTGTGTGACTGTGTGTCTGAGTATGTCTGGCTGCATTGTTTAAGACACGGTCTCCTGGTTGCTGCAGACGCCAGCCTAACTGGACCTGGAACTTGCATGGATATTCTCTTGCCTCCCATCTTCCTGTAGAAGTGTTTGGGTTACAGATGGATGTGCTAACATGTCCAGTTTTACATGGGTTCTGGGGATCAGGACTCATGTCCTTATGTTTGCCTAGCAAGAGCTTTACCTCTGAGCCATTTCTCAAATTCTGTCTATCTTTTTGACATTGTGATATGATGTCATCTACAAAGGTGCTGAGCAATGTTCACAACTCTCCTGGGACACATGCATCTCTTGGGTTGAAGGCTGGACACATCTGGCCTGCCTGGCAGCTACAGGCTACAGGGAGCTGGTAGAAGGCTGTTTTGCATCAACCTGACTGGGCCACTAGAAATGGGGCTATGGAGGCTGGATGTGAGCATGCACCACTGCACTCTGCAAAGCTCATTCCATTTACAGGCAAAGAAATCTGCCAAGATGTGGCTCTCTACATTGGAGGCTCTCATTATCTTTTCTAATTAGATGGGTGACACTCATACATAGAATGGATAGAATATAGATGATTTGTGTCCGCAAATGCAAGCTTGGGACTAGGGACCTGGAAAGAAGATGCAAACCGCAGAAGCAGGAGTGTGTATCCTTCACACATACAGGCACTCAGCCCTTTTTCTTTAGAATTCCACCTCTGCTTCTCACTTATGCTAATTCCTGTTGTCAGCATGCATGTTACACTATCTGCTCCCTAACACTAATTGTTTTCACTACTACTAATTAAGTAATTAATAAAACTTGACTGTGGGGTAGATAAATATTAATAGCACCCACTGGCTGGGAAAACATAAACATACTCATTTGCAGGTGGAGAAAGGAAAAATAGAAGCAGAGAAGTGTGGGTTTGCAAGGAGAAAGGGGAGCCGAAACAACAGCACTGAAAGTGCTCAGCTGCTGAACTGCAAAAGACTGACATTTCTTCTAAAATGATAGGAATGACAGAAAGCAGTGCCACAAGCTCTACAGGAAGCAAAATATATATAACTATGTAACTCCATATATACATATATATAACTATATAATTATACATACATATAAAACTATATATATAACTCTATAACTCTATATACATACATATGTGTGTGTGTGTGTGTGTGTGTGTGTGTGTGTACACAACATAAATGTGGAAGGTAGAGGATAACTTGGGGAAGTCAGTTCTCTCCCTTCCATCATATGGGTTTGGAATATTGAACTCAGGTCATCATGAATGACTGAAAGTGCCTTTGTCTACTCAGCCATTTCACTGATCCTTTGGAGAGATTTTTTAAAAAGAAATATCTGAAATTCAACAGCTACCACCTAAAGCAAGGTCAAGGTTAATTAGTGGGAACACAACCCATGGACCCTGGGGGCAGTTTGGTTGTTTGCCATTGGTTTGACTAGCTCAGCACATGGTGAGGGGAAGGAGGGATGTATAAATATGATATTCATCTTCGGATCATTGACAAACACACTAAACTCCTCTGAATGTTTTCAAGTAGGAAAGAACTGCTCACAGAAGCTGTCAGTAGATACTGATTGAGTTACTTCTATTGATATGACAAAATAAATGAAAAACATCCACTGAAAGAGGAAGAACTTATTTTGGCTCACAGTCCTCAGGTACAGTCTATCATGGTTGGGAAATTGTGGCAGCAGGAGCACGAAGCAACTGGTCACATTGTATCCACAACCAGGAAGCAGGGACAGATGAAGGCTGGCGCTCAGCTCCCTTTCTCCTTTTCATTCAGTTTAGGGCTACAGCTCATGGGATGGTGTTGCCCATATTTAGAGTAGATCTTCCTACCTCAATTAGCCCAGTCTAGAAACTCCTTCACAGACATGCCCAGAGGTTTGTCTCCTAGGTGATTCTAGATTGTCAAGTTGACAATCAATATGAATCATCCTAGTCACTGACATCCTGTTCTATTGTTTTAATTTAATAAAAATATGCCCCCACACTCATGTGCACATACATAAAGACAACCAGAGGGAATGGAGAGGGCAGAACAACCCTCCTTGACCAGTCCTGGGCTATCTGGGCAAAGCATGGCAGCTGGCTTTCTGCTGCTTCTGGGCTCAGAATAAGAGCCAGCTGACATAGAGGAATGGTAGTATACTAATATCTAGGCTAGGGTAAGAAAGCAACCATTGAGTCAGTAACAGAGATCAG